AGCGTGCTGCAGCCCAGTGCAGTCATCAGTGAATCCAGGCAGTTATAGAGCGCCGACGCTGACGCCAGGCAGAATATGACGATAATCACATAAACTGCAGGAGAAAGCAAGCATCAGTCACGCTGCTCGTGTCACTTCCTGCAGACTGTGAAGCACCAGGACTCACCCAGCCAGCGGTAGAAGAAGTACATGAGCACCAGCATCACACACATCATGGCCACGAACAGCAGCACCTTCAGCGGAGAGTAGAGCGAGAGCTCGCTGCTGTCAGAGCGTCCCTCAGCCGCGTCACACACCGGACCCGAGGTCTGCTTCAGTCTGAGCACACACACACACGTCCCATCAGCCAACACCTGATCAACATGAGAGCTAACGATGATGACGAGCAACTCACTTCTCAGCCGCGCCGCTCCAGAATCCACCCATCGTCACCGTAAACACGGCGAGCATCAGCATGACGATGATGCTGGCGTCAAACGGAGGAACAGGAGGAGCGTATAACCTCACCTCCATCCCCTGAGGAAACACCTGAGAGAGCAGACATCAACAGTTATCCAGCGCTGATTCTGTTACTGGACGGAAGACAGAGTTCTGCAGGCTTTCTGAAGGTAAACTTAAAATTTTGTGAAGAAATGTAAGACTTTAAGAGCAAGATAATGTCAGGAATAAACTGAATGGAACACAATAGGTCAGAATGATCTCTAAATGTAAATGTTGTGTATTAGCAACACTTCACAGACTGAAAATACAACTTCCAACAGATCTCCATTACATTTTCATTCATTTTACACAAAAAAATATATACTGAAATAACTTTTACTGTATCTTCTGATTACATGGCAAAGGCTGCTGCTCTTCCTCAGTATTTTTGTCTTATTTCCAGTGATAAATCAAGACACATTTACTGGAGAAACAAATGACTTAAAATAAGAAGTCTTGTTTTCTGAGAAACTGATCTAAATGAAGTGAGTTTATGATTAAAACAAGAACAAATATCTGCTAATGGACTCAAGAAAAAAAATCAACTTCATTCAAAGGGAAACAAGTTTTCATTCCCATTGACAGATATTTGTTCTTGTTTTAATCATAAATTCACTTTATTTTGTTCAGTTTCTCAGAAAGCAAGAGTTCATGTGTTCATTTTGCTTCTCCAGTAAATGTGTCTTGGTTTAGGGATGTTTAGATATTTGTACTGGAAAACAAGACCGTAATACTGAGGAAGAGATTCAACATTTAATGCCACGACTTTATGAATTTAAGACTTTCTGCTGTGAATCCACACTGAACTGAAGTGAATCCACACTGAACTGAAGTGAATCCACACTGAACTGAAGTGAATCCACACTGAACTGAAGTGAATCGACACTGAACTGAAGTGAATCGACACTGAACTGAAGTGAATCGACACTGAACTGAAGTGAATCGTCACTGAACTGAAGTGAATCGACACTGAACTGAAGTGAATCCACACTGAACTGAATCCACAGTGAATCGACACTGAACTGAAGTGAATCGACACTGAACTGAAGTGAATCGACACTGAACTGAAGTTAATCCACACTTAACTGAAGTGAATCAATGAATTTTACAACACTAACACGGTTATTTTCTTGTTTCTCTCAGTGAAGCTGCTTTGAAACGATCTGTCCAGTGTGAAGCGCTGTAGAAGTAAGTGTGACTTCATCTTCACCTGCAGCGCGTCCAGGACGTCCCGGTGTCTCACGAGGGCCAGAGGAATCTTCATCTTACTGAACACAGAGTTGTTTACAGATGGCGTCAGCATATTTTTAATGCTGGCGATCAGAAGTACAGATGCACCCAAATCCTGAGCGACCAGAGCCTTCTGACCGAAATCACAGCCGCCCCTCATCACCACCACAGCCTGACCCTTCAGAGAGTCCTGCTGACCCCTCACACACAGCTGACTGGAGGTCAGGTTCAGCAGCGGATAGGCCACCTGCGCGCACACACACACACGCACAAACACACATATTTAAAGGATATTAAAATAGAAACCATTATTTTATATTGTCTCTGATGTGTGTCTCTGATGTGTGTCTCGGTGTGTCTCTGATGTGTGTGTGTCTCGGTGTGTCTCTGACGTGTGTGTGTCTCGGTGTGTCCCTGATGTGTGTGTGTCTCGGTGTGTCTCTGATGTGTGTGTGTCTCGGTGTGTCTCTGATGTGTGTGTGTCTCGGTGTGTCTCTGATGTGTGTGTGTCTCGGTGTGTCTCTGATGTGTGTGTGTCTCGGTGTGTCTCTGATGTGTGTGTGTCTCGGTCTGTCTCTGATGTGTGTGTGTCTCCGTCTGTCTCTGATGTGTCTCTGATGTGCATGTCTCGGTCTGTCTCTGATGTGTGTCTCTGATGTGTGTGTGTGTCTGTGTGTGTGTGTGTGTCTTGGTGTGTCTCTGATGTGTGTGTGTATGTCTCGGTGTGTCTCTGATGTGTGTGTGTATGTCTCGGTGTGTCTCTGATGTGTGTGTGTATGTCTCGGTGTGTCTCTGATGTGTGTGTGTATGTCTCGGTGTGTCTCTGATGTGTGTGTGTATGTCTCGGTGTGTCTCTGATGTGTGTGTGTATGTCTCGGTGTGTCTCTGATGTGTGTGTGTATGTCTCGGTGTGTCTCTGATGTGTGTGTGTATGTCTCGGTGTGTCTCTGATGTGTGTGTGTATGTCTCGGTGTGTCTCTGATGTGTGTGTGTATGTCTCGGTGTGTCTCTGATGTGTGTGTGTATGTCTCGGTGTGTCTCTGATGTGTGTGTGTATGTCTCGGTGTGTCTCTGATGTGTGTGTGTATGTCTCGGTGTGTCTCTGATGTGTGTGTGTATGTCTCGGTGTGTCTCTGATGTGTGTGTGTATGTCTCGGTGTGTCTCTGATGTGTGTGTGTATGTCTCGGTGTGTCTCTGATGTGTGTGTGTATGTCTCGGTGTGTCTCTGATGTGTGTGTGTATGTCTCGGTGTGTCTCTGATGTGTGTGTGTGTGTGTGTCTTGGTGTGTCTCTGATGTGTATGTGTGTGTGTCTCGGTGTGTCTCTGATGTGTATGTGTGTGTGTGTGTGTCTCGGTGTGTCTCTGATGTGTGTGTGTGTGTCTCGGTGTGTCTCTGATGTGTGTGTGTGTGTCTCGGTGTGTCTCTGATGTGTGTGTCTCGGTGTTTACCTGATGTGTGTCTCTGATGTGTGTGTGTGTGTGTCTCGGTGTGTCTCTGATGTGTGTGTGTCTCGGTCTGTCTCTGATGTGTGTGTGTCTCCGTCTGTCTCTGATGTGTCTCTGATGTGCATGTCTCGGTCTGTCTCTGATGTGTGTCTCTGATGTGTGTGTGTGTGCCGTTCACACAGAACACATATTTCACGCATTTTCTAGAGGGACTTCTATTACTGTTGCACTCGCATCTCGAACAAAAGAGCCGCATGTTTAGAAAGCCATGTAAAATTAATGCAAGTTTAACTTTGAAAAAA